GGAGCGAGTTCAGTTGGGAATCAAGTTGAGCTGGGAGCAAGTTGGATCGGGACCAATTGAACCTAGGATCAAGTTGACTCCAGGACTGAGTTGACTCTGACTGAGTTAGTTTCAGACAAAGTTGATTAAAATTTTAAGTAGGTTCAAACTGTAACATGGCAGCCATTCTTAGCCGAGTGGACAGCAAAAGGATTTTGTCAACAAACTATAATTTCCAGACATTTCCACAAGATCCTGTGTTTCCCGATTTCCTCTGTGCCCAAAATTATTATTAAAAAATTAAAGTAGAAAAAATTAAATCCGAAAATGGATTTAGACTTCTATTGACATTTAAACTGACGCAAAACTGTGGCATTGAAGCATGGCACATGCACATGCACTTAAGTCTTTTGTAATGAATCCCCAGTGTTACATTTTCAAAGAGGCATACTTATTCAACGTAAATTAACTGATGACTCTTAGCCATGAAAATAGGGTCTTTTGGGGGGCAAGAGCACCTGTCATGCCTGTTCATCTGCAGTTTGACCCCGGCCTGTGAGTACATTGTTCACTCGCTCAAAATGCCCTGTAGTGCATGGATTTTGCACAAGATAAATTACAGCATCTTCAATTTGACTGTTCACAAAGCCACTGTGTTTTTCTAGATTTTTTCAAAGCAGTTACCTCACACATGAAAGAAATCAGTGGATAAAAACTGCAGTTAACTTTATAACCCTGTATGAACTACTGGTAATCGTGTTAGATCAAGACTAAAAGCAATGGTGTAACCACCCTTTAACTGACTTCCAACACAAGCTTTATCCAAATTTCAGTAGATTTTTGTGGACTTTGAAGTAAAGAAAGAAAGAAAAAGAAAACAGACAGTGCGTTTTGCAACACAATCTAGTAACCAAGCCAAATGCTGACTTTATTGTGCCTATAATGTGTCTGAGGACACTTGCAGAGCCACACCATATTACCGGTACACTGTTTTTATAAGCATTATTTGGCTGAGCTTGGCCTGTAGTCAAGCACATAT